ATATTTTTAGCAATTTGTCACCCTTGTGATGTCGAGTAAGTGGCCTTTCGGGTAAATAACTTTCAGGGAATTATACCGTAACCCTTACCTAGTGTTCTATAATAAAGTTTTTCTTTTTCTTGCCATATTTTTCTATAATTTTTTTGACCTCGAGAGTGCTTTTTTCTTCTTCTAGTAGAATCTATTCTTTAAGTCTTCTATCTGGTTTGATTTCTACCAGTATTGCTTTCAAGCTTAGGCTATTTCTTCTTTTTGTTTGGTACTTTCTTTTTACTTCTCTTGTTCTTCTCTGTTCGATTACTTCTTCTTCTAATTTTTGAAACTATTTTGCTTTTTTTCCCTGGGCTTTTGTTCCTCTACACATTTTATTTGTTTCCAAGTTATCATTCTTGTACCACTATGGTCAAGTAGCTGTTCTAATATGAAAATGTTATAGTTCTTATATTGGAGGAATTTTTGCCTATCTTCTCCTGAAAGAATGTTTATAATCTTAGTTTCTTTTTCTGTGAGTCTAAGATTTTTTTTAATTTTCTCTAATCAGAAAGAGATTTCTAGTTTTTTGGCTTCTTTTAGTACTTATATATTTAAATTGTTCTGCAGCTTGGCTCTATTTAGATCTCTTTCGTCTATTTTCAGAACACATTTGTGGCTTCTTAGATCAATCTGTGCTTTCTTTAGACGTAGCTATATAGCTTCTCCTACTTCTTGCCTATTATTGAGCCGTACTGGCAATTCTGTAAAATGATATGCTATTTGTTATTGCCAGATTGACTGCAGTCCTACTATCTTTTTTATGTGTAACCATTGCATTTGGTATGGTGCTTGACATCCTAGCTTTGTTTTTACATAGCTTTATCATAGAGCTCTGCAGCTGATCACACCTTTGTCTTGGTAGAATTTTTAACTGCGTTCTAAATTCTATCCTTGGTAATAGGACCATATTGTTAATATATACCATATGTATTAGTGAAGCTTTCTTTTTGCTGATCTGTTTGGTCACCATGTATACTTCATTTCTGATTATGTCTTCTATTTGCTTGTTTCTATTCTTGGCTGCCAACTATATGTCTAAAAAGCATATTAGGTCTTTTTCTTTTTTTCCTATCACCACTTCTTTGTTTGGACTGAAATTGATCTTTATATTGTCTTTATTATACCTCTTTTCTGGCTTTATAACTAGCAGTTCAGACTTTTTCGGATTAATTTCTATATCATTAATCTTGTAGAATTCTTCTGCAATCTCTATCATTTTTTTCAGGTTCTCTTTCGAGCTTGCTATATATGTTGTGTTATCTGCATAAGCTATTATTTCTATTTGGAGGCTTTGTTGATAAATCGTGTTGCTTGTAATGTCCTCTGGCCACTCTACTACTATTCGATGTCCTGCTTTTCTCCGCTTCTGAATTGCAACTAGGAGGAATCATAAAATATTCTCCATACCAAGAATGAAATGACCTTCTCTTGGTCTATGCCATCTTTTGCAATGAATGTTTCTGTATTTTCCAAACTTGTTATCACCTCCTTTCTTCTCTTACTGTATAGCTGCAGTATAAAGCTCTTCGAGACCTGTGGTAGCTTAATTCTTTCTAGTGCTATTTCTAATATCTTTATGCTAACTAAGTCGAAAGCCTTCTTTATGTCTTGAAATAGCAACCAGATTTCCTTCTTCTGTTCTCTTGCATCTTCTAACAAACAGTTAATTAAGTGTATTGGATACGAATTTTATAAATTACAAAATTTTAACTAGTATGATTACGGACAGTGTTACGTAATCATACTAGTTAAAATTATTACCATATTTAGATACCCCTATAATTTCTCCCTTAGATGGTTACATTTCATCAATTGGGTACCAGAATAAAGATCTCCGATTGGCTAATTAAGGATGATCTATATTTTATAGACAATTTCATTGGCTAAAAGTCACGATTTTTAGGAAAAAATGCCGACGGTGACATTTGTTTAGGAAAAAATGTCGACGGTGACATTTTGACGATTTTAATAATTAGTAAATTTACTAATACATCAAGAAAATTTTTGGATTATTTGCTGACGGTGACTTTTCACTTTTCCGAAAAATATGTTTTCGGAGTTTCGCCTTTTCCTATTGATAATTCTAAACTTTAATTATACTTATTAATATTAGTATAAATAAATTACACTTATAACTTAATTGTTCTCTTGAAAACATTAAGAAATTTGAAGAAAATATACAATATAAAATATATAAATCCTATAATTAAGAAAAAAATATAAAAAGAGGACGAAATTCCTTTTTGCACGAAAATTCTTTTTGCACGAAAATTCTTTTTGAATGAAAATTCTTTATAAAAATGTCTACAATAAATTTATATAAAATTGAGAATAATGAATCTATTTCTTGTCTTCAAGAAGGATGTAGTTATAAATTTCGTAATCCTAAACAAAAACAAAAAAGTATTATGGAGCATTATAAACGACATCATTTTGAAATTTATAAACAATTAAAGAATCAAACAAAACCTTATTCAAAACCTTTACAACAAACAGATAAATGTATTGAAAATAATAATTTTTTTCAAAGTGCAGAAAAGACAACTGAAATTACGATTTATAAAGATTTTGCTGATTTACAAAAACAATTTGTACGAGTAGAATGT